TGATATGACTCGCCTGTTCCCACTTGAGCTTCTCATTTCTCCTGCCTTCATTCAGATTTTGTAAAAACAGCTTCCTTTGCTTTCTTACTCCCATTGCCTTTTTTTATCCCCCTTCCTCCATTTCCGCCGTATTAAGCCCTTTATCTCTGTCCTACTGACATGAAAGACGTTTTCTGGCCTTTGTCATATGTGCCATTTCATTTCCTTTAACTTCATAATGTGCTGATAGCCATAAAGTGTTTGCTGACTATCAAAAAGTCCGAATAACTGTGCTGTAAAGCGGCCAATGATAAAGCTGAATCTGAACTTACTGTTATTTTTAACTGTCTTATGATTGCATCGACTGAACTACTAAAAGTATTGAAAGTATTTCTCCTGTGTATGCTGATCACGTCCTTATGTCAAATGGAATGTAAAACTCAAAGACAGGATCTCTCTTGGCTCTTACTTTTCTAACTTCAGGATAAAGATAATGAAAAAAGACTAAATTAAACTAAAACTAAATGCAAGCTTCTCATATGGGCTATATTGTAAATAGCATAATAATAGTGAATGTCTGCAGGTGCTTAGCGTTGCAACACTATTACCGCCTGCAGGTGGCGCCAGTGGACCGCTTCTAACACGCCGAGGAACAACTTCTGCAGGCTATAACCTTCTGCTTTATGTTTTAAAATCATGTTCATTGGTTCAGAGTGAGCAAACATGGGTCTGTATGAATATATGTATGAGTTGTATACATATCACACACATGCTTTGTATAATATATACAGATATATTAGTAAAAATAAAAGCGGGGGTACACCATTAAAGCTTCATACGCACTGTATTTTCCACATTTTGATTGCACATATAATAAACTTTATGGTATAAAACAAGTAGAAACAGCTGAAGCAATCATTAAATCACCTTTTTCTTTTTGCAGAAATTGAACTTGCAAAGAAAGCACACAGCATGGGACACAATAACTTCCCGAATTCTCCAGCAATGCAAAATGGAAAAAAGCTATAAATTACTGAAAACCAATAGAAAATCTTAAGCAGCATAAAGCAGCTCTCAGCATAAATGGAGGCTACAATATGGTACAAAATGCACACTGTGCAAGTAAAAGACATCTTTGAACCAAACTGAGGGCTGTCGGTACGGGTAAAGGTTTTCACACCACCTACATGTTTTGTCCAATACCCAATGCATAGGATGAGTACAAGGTCAGCAAATGCCACACACTGCAAGACAGCGCACGTGTGTCAGGCAATGGTAAATGTCAAGCATTTCGATACAGAGTGGTTAATCTGCAAAAATCTACAGTACATTAGCCATGGTATATCACACAAGCAGAGAAGTTGATAAATGTTGCCCACAAATGTGTTCGAAATAGGCCGGCTCAGATGGCATATTGTTTTGGTTGCTTCTTCAGGCTCATGGATCTTTCAGTTTGTGAAATCACATGAGTGGCTCTGTTGTTGAGGAGTCTGCATTCATGAAGAACATCTGTACAAAGAAAAATACATAAAAAGTCAAGGAATGCACTATGCATCTAACACTGTTAGCAACCAGCTAGATATCTAGGAACAGGTCTGCAGATATTCTCTTACCATTAAATTGCTTATAGGCTTCTTCAATAATGGCATTATTAGATCTCTTTATCTCCCAGTAACTATCTTCCACCCATGGCTTGCAATCAGAATGTTCAACAAGCTGTCCATTCTTGTACAGACCAGCTGATCATCATTCAAAAAAAGTAAATATCAGTCTCGGTATATTATACAAGAGGCAAACACAAATGCATCGCAACTGTCAGCGGTGCCACAATCACCAAATTAATCCAGTAAACAAAGTGTGACAACAAGTTCATTAAAATATACCTTTTATGGTATCATCAATGTCCTTGCATAACTGATACAGATCGCTTCCACGCCCAACAACTCTTTCACCTGCAATTTAAGCAGATTAATTCATTAAAAGACGAAATTCTTACAAGTTAATGCTGAACAGTTAAATGTCCAAAGAATGGGGAAAAAAAAAATTACCATCCAGGACTTTGATATTGGGGAACATCTCGAGAACTACCGCTCTATATGAAGAGTTTCTGCACACTGCCATAAAGAAACTTAACATGAGTTCATTAATCGAGAATTTCCACCCACTGGAATATGTTCAAAGTCACCAAAATTACCTGGATTAGTGTAATTATATGTGTTGTCTTTCAGACGTATATTTTCTAGCTTTCTCAAAGAAACAAGGCAGTGTAGGTTCTCAATACTGTTGAAAAGCAAAACAGACATGCTCTTAAAATGCCTAACAACATAGTAACTTATGCATAAAGCTTTTCTGCTTTTATGTCAGTAACACAGCCGCTTGTGACATATTCACATTTTTAATCACCTGCAGGAAAAAAAAGACATTCAGTGGTTATTTAGTCTTACCTGGATATAATATTACCAGCCACATTTAAGTTCTGTAAAACGTCACAAGTGCGCAGGGGCTCTGGAAATACAAAAGCAGTGACCAATTTATGAGAAATTTTAAAGCCTTTTCATGACAGTAATCATCTTAATAATGCAAGAAATAAATAATCTTTTTCTTCTAAAATTGTACCTAAATTGGAGACCCTGTTGTTAGACAAATTGAGGACTGAAAGAAGACGTAGAGATGCTAAAGGAGCCAAATTTGTGATATTATTTCCAGAGAGGTCCAGTCTCTCCAGGTTTATACATTCCCCAGTGCATCCAAGATCATGTATACCTACAAGACATACAATTTAAATCATAAATGAAATGCAAATTTTGCAGAATGAAATGCTAATATATTATTTCCATCTTACCGAGATTTCTTAATTTGAGAAACAATATCGACTCCAGATCAAATTCCCCGGTACGTGACTTGAGCAGCACGGCAGTTATCTTTTCATGGTCTGCATCTGAAAGAATACGAGTCACAAGACTTCAGCAGAGCAAAGCATATTTATTTTTCTATTTGCATGCACCCACTCTGTCATTGTTCGTGAGTCAGCACAGCAAAAGAAAACGCTAGAAGCACAGTGTCTGTTCTGCTTACAGTATAAGCAAATAATCCAGGCAATCATCTCTAATAGGGGACAAAAAAAAATTCAGACAAGCAGTTTCTGAATTTCATATCTGGCTGCACGCTGGGATGTCCTCTTGAGGATAGGGTCACAAACAGATGTGCTGCTGGGTGGTATTATCTCGCCAGTTGTATGCATAAATAAAAGAAACGCAGGGAGTTATATTTGGCTTGATTCCCTGAGGCAGTGTCAGCCAGCTCTTATTAAGAGAGGTAAAAGGAAATCACGGTTGACCAGAGATGATGATGATAATGATGCTGATGTAGGGCTCTGTTATTTTCTTGGTGATCCTCTTATTATATTTTCAGATATGCAGCACAATTTTTATTTACTTATTTAAAAACTAAATGAGCACTGACAGACATGGATTTATATCCTTAAATATGACAGAGAATGGATTGGGTGTAAGCAGGGACTAATGTTTTGCACTGCACCTGCAGAAAGAAAGGTCACGATGTTTAGATTACCGCACAGTCTGCCAGCAATAACGTTACAACTTGTTAGCAGAGGCATTAAAGGGACTTTGTTAGCCCATGTTAGCTATATTCGTGAGACAGCGGCTGCGTGAATTAAATCATGAGGATGATTCAGCCGGATGAAAGTGGGTGGGTTCTTGAATATAATTAAAAACGTTCCCCGTCTGTTTTATTTATTTATTTTGTCATGAGATTATATAAGCAAAATGTTGTGTAACAAACAAAAAGGGGTTATGTTGTAGCTGGAAGCACAGCTACCTAGCATAAGCAGCTAGTGGCTAGCAAAGCAACGTAGCAACAAGCTACCCATCACAACTTACCTTGGTCCTTCTCTCGCTTGGAGTCCATCCTGGGCAACTTTGCTAGCTTCAAAGCTGCCTAACCCGGTAAAGAGCGACACTTTTAACCAGTGTGGTGGTTAGGAGAGGTAGTGGCTCTGTGGGGTGAATGTGAAATTATCATCTGTCCTGGTGTGCAGTCAGGACACGCTCACTGTACTGCCGTGCTGCAAATAGCACGCAGGTGGATGAGACGGACCTCAGTCTCCGCAGCCGGCAGAGGGATGGGGGAGGCGATCATCTGCGGTGCAGGCTGCTGAAAGAAGCTGCACACCTGCTTAATTAAATATATAAATAAGAAATGCACATATATTAGATGCCGCTTCTGTGCAACAGGTTCTCGGGTCAATTAAAAGTTGTCGTCTTGCTACTGTGCCGTCGATAATAACTATGCTGGGGTTTCTGCATTTGTGGTATGCTACTACTATATCGTATATAGCAGAATAGTTATTGTACCAAATGGTAATTAGCAGCGGAGCCAAAAAAAACCAAGTTTTTCTTTTCGTAATTACTATACATATAAATATAATATTGGGCTTGTACTGTATTAAATCTGAGGTGGACATATTGTAATATTAAATATCATTGGCATAGTCACCTGTAAGATAACTTTTATCATTGTATTTACTGTGCATACTGCAGGTTAACAATGTATATGTTTTTTTTAAAAAAAAAACGAGCAAAAAAAGTGCCCAAATTTTACAATTTAGCAATAGCGGACTGGTTTAAAGCACAGATTGCATCTTATCAGTGATATCAGTAATAGTCTGTTCGCAATATTGTGTAAGATCGTATAGAAGAAAAAAGATGTTTAATTGGTGTGTAATTAAGTGGCCCCAAGGTGAGGTTACATCATTCCTGTTGCTAGCAGTTTCTAGTTCACAAGTAGGCCTTTTTATTTATTCATTTCTTAGCTCCGGTCCCATTGGTTTGTCTGGACTCCGGTGGACACCATCTGGGTACTTAAGGAGGGGAAACAGATCACTTTGCACTCCTTGGGGTCAGCAGACAACATCCACTGGCTCCGACTTAAACGAAAATCTTTATTACTAAGATATATTCTTGACGCACTTCATCTACTTTTGCAGTCGTGGAGGACATCGTCTGGAAGGACACCAATACCCTTTGATAGGAGTTTGCAACGATATAAATTCATCTTGTGCGGAGACTTTGTCTCTGCGGACCTTCTAAATGCCTTTCATTGAGAAAGGGCTTTGGACATTCAGTGCTGTGAATGTGTACAAGCAACAAATTACTTGATCAAGATGGGTAATAAACAAACGATATTTACCGACGAGCAGCTTGATGCTTATCAGGTAAGCTTGTGTCCATACCTGTGTTTGGAATCTGGATGTCAAGCAATTCATTCAAGTGAATAATGTTTTAATGTCTTAATTATGTGCAGCCAATAAACACATCACTGGAAAACTTTGAAGGCTAAGTGAAGTAAAAATTAAACATGTTTTTTTTTGTGTGTGATTATTGCACTCCTGTTGTTAGACTAACACAAATCATCATTTTATTTATCTTTTTATTTTCTCAGATATTGAAAAGAGGGAAAGTCACTTTATAAATATTGATTATTACCATCTCTAGGGTTTTTGTTGGTCCTAGTCCCCCCATCAATTTCATTTATGACAGACAAAAAACAATTTCCTACTATAGTGTCGTCAGCTATGGCCACATTTTTATTTAAATATTGATAAGCAGATAGCAAAAGGTCTTGATTTCATTCCAAACTGGAGGATATCATGTAAACTGATCATCTAAAAAGATCTGACCTTTTGTTCCCTGTAACAAAAATCCAGGTTTTCCCAGGGAGAAAGACATCCTCATATGCACAGGTTTATCATGTGATTCGCTGTGGGCTTAATAATTGATGCCAAAGCCAGCGATGATGTGCCGTGAAACTCTACTCTCAGGACACAGTTTCTCAAGAGCTTCTCTGGTTACTTCAACTACTCCTAGAGTACCGTTTCTGTTTGTCTAACAGTTGTTATCTCTAGAGTATCACTTGAATTTATATCTTTCTTCGGCTCAAATAGATCATTGGATACTGCATCAGCGTGCTTCATTCAACGGGGAATCTAGAACCCAACAGCTATAACTTAAGCATGACTGTAATGGCATTTCTAAGTGTCAGCACATTGTTATCTCGTGTTATGGAGCATAGCAGGTAAGGTTGACTTTAGTAGGTGTATCGGTGAAAGCAAAAGGTGCAGTCCCTTGAGCTCATCTGACTGCACTCTAACACCCAGGGGAGTAGCTCAGACAGAATTCATACAAAAGACAAATGTAAACTGAGGTGCCCCCGGTAGAGCCGTTGGATAATGCGTGTGCCAGCACATGCATGTCAGACAACAGCAGATTATGTTCTCATGTACTTAAACGCATCATCGTTTAGGAGAAACCAGACACCCCGCTCAGTGTTTTACAGTAATGATTCTTCACAGATGTGTCATTGTGAGCATTTTATGCAAATTTCGATTGCACCTTAAAGGATTTGTCATCATGTGCAGTGCTATAAAACCTTCAATTCAAAGTATTTGTTTTTCACATGCTGTTTTTCTCTCATTGCAGGATTGCACGTTTTTTACTCGGAAAGAAATTCTGCGGTAAGACTTTGATGAGGTTTTTTTTCTCCTTTTTATTCTGAAAAATCGCTCGCAGATATATGTTGCACTGTCTTTCATTTAAACCACATAAATTCACCACTTACACTGACCAAAAGAAGATGCAAATATGTTGTTATAAGCTTTTCTTTTATTTTCCTGGGGTATTTCTTTGCTCTTTGGACTATGCGTGCTTTAACTGGGTCAGGATTTGGCAATTAATACTGTATGTTAAGTTCTTTCATCCATTCTTTCATTACATCGCTTTGTATAAAATAGATCACTACACTACAGCTAGCATACATGACCAACATTACCTTGGTATTCCTGGAGTTGGTTGGGCTGTTTGCTTCTGATTTGCTGATTTACAGTAAATCAAACGCTGAGTTTTGGCCAAGAGACACCAGTAACTTACCAAATGGCATGCATATATTTGTGTGTGCCGTTGTGTTGTTTTATGTCATAAAATTGTTTCCAACTGAGTGTTAATGGTAACTTATGTGCAGTGACGTATGACCCCAATTATAAATGTATATTTGTTAACATTAAAAGCTTTCACTATATTGTAAGTTTTCACTTCATTTCGTTGTAATATTTTGGTTTGAATCATGGTAACAGACCTAGAACAAGATTCAGAGATTTGCTGAAATACATGCAGCTTGACATCTGAGCAGCTAGAACAGACATACAATGGATATACAGATGTTTCACTCAGTAAACATAATGTGGATTATGATTTATTTCATATACAAAATGCATATAAATCTGCATAGTGTAGCACAGTGCTGCTATTTATAGTGTAATGGCTCCATTCCCTCCTTCATTCACTATCCAACAAAGGTCGAATGTTGGTCTCTTTAAAGTATGAAATACAGGCAAATATACCATTTAGTCAATGAATGGAAAAGTATGTGGATTTCTGATTTGTAAACAGTGCTGTTACATGCAGGTGTTTGTTAGTGACGATCTAGAAGGTTCTGTCCGTTAGCTGTAGCTGTAGTATGTTAGGTAAACCTTTTGAAATTCACGTTGACCTTTTGACTGCCGTATCGTTTTCAGAGCCATTCAAAAAGGGTGTCACATTTCTGCTTATACATTAAAAAAACTAAATCAAATAAATATGATAACACTAGTTGTCACGACTCACTGGACGGCTTAATTTCTCTCCTGTTGTTGCTTATCCACTTGATGACAGGCACAAATGACTCGCTTTTTTCGTTAACAGAAGTGAGCACTTACTGTACCTTTGCATTTCACTCTCTTTTGGCTGTGGTTTGTTCTAGATGTTAGATTAGATTTTTTTCTTTTCTTTTTTTTTAGCAAGACATTCTTTACTAATTTGCATTTATTTTTACAACAAAATAAACAAAATAAGGCATTTGAGAATTCTTTGTGTACTTGGTTCTCCTCATTGACATCAATTTGACCAAGGCTAGTAGTGCTGGATACTAAAAAGAGGTCATAATAGGGTGCTAAAAAACACTTGTTTCTTTCTTTGGATTTAACTTTATTGACATTGCACAAAAGTATTCAGAAAACAAAATGCAATTTGGAAAAGAAGATATATTGTTCATTTTTATTAGAGGAAGTATGTGACATATATGAAAAAACAGTTAAATTTAAACAGGTTTACTTGTTTCAGTAAACCTCACTTGTTCCTAGCAGTCTACCAGTGAAACTCAGTCACTTTGACAGGTTTATCTAGTTTAATTGTAGTAAGTTTGTTCTCAAAGACTAGCGTCCCTGTTGATGAATACTCAGATATGCCCTGAAAGTATTGACTTAAAAGTCAAAGGTCTATTTTCTTTTCCTAGGCTGCATGGCAGATACCATGAGCTGGCTCCACATCTTGTACCAATGGACTACACCAATGAACCTGATTGTAAAATCCCATTAGCCTTAATAGTCAACATGCCAGAATTAAAGGTAAACCCCCCACCGCTGTTTTAAAGCTCTGTTTTGTCAATGTGAGCAGTATGCTTGTGTATGTAGAACTGATTGTTAACACCACCCGTCTGGCTGTACTCCACTACATTGTGTGAGCTTTTGAAAGTTTATGTGCCGTGAATTGCTCTGACTGATTCTAAAAGTAAATCAAAAATAAATTTCAAATGCCATTTTGCACACTGTGACATCTCAGCCACATTTACCTCAGCTTTTCTCTGAAACAAGCATGAATGCCATACCCTTTAATATGAAGCCCCTATTCCCCGCAGAGTATTACCACAGAGACTCACGATGCACCCTTCCTCTCGGCATGATTGGGCCTTGTCTGTAAAACTGTCACAATAAGGCTGGGTTATAAGGATAGCAGAAAAAAGATGGAGAAGACTAAAGACACAATTGGACCTCTGCAACTTCATGACCATAAATTTGTCATCCTATTTTATATATTTCTATTTAGCTGATTATTTATTGACCTCAAACTTTACCCTGGGCAATAACACTTTCTTATTTGGACTCACTGAACTACAAACTCTGATTTAATAGCATTGTCTTGAATATCGTGAATATGCACTACCAGTCAAAAGTTTTAGAACACCACAATTTTTCCAGTTTTTTATTGAAATTTATGCAGTGTAATGTTTCATTGCACTCTGAAATGAAAGCATTTTAAAAATAAGCAATTGAAGTTAAAAAGGAAATCATCAATCAATCAGTTTATAGACCAGAATGTATTCTAAACCTTTGCCACCTTTGGCAGATATAACAGCTGAACACACTCGTGCCATTCTTTCTACAATAGAAGTCAAATATTCTTCAGAAAGTTCTTCCCCATATCTGTTGCAGATGTTCCCATAAATGTGTGGCACTTGTGGGTTGCTTTGCTTTCACTGTTCTGTCCGGTTCATCACAAACCAGCTCAATGGGATTTAAGTCTTTAGACTGTGCTGGCCACTCCATGTTTTTAAGCTTACCTTGTTCTTTTTCCTTATGTAGTTCTGGCATAGCCCAGACTTGTGTTTTCGGTCATTATCTTGCTGTAGGTTGAAACCTTGACCAACTAGGCGCATACCAGAAGGTATTCCATGGCGCTGCAGAATGCTGTGGTAGTCGTATTGGTTCAGGGTGCGTCTCACTCTGTACAAGTCACTGACCCTGGATCCAGCAAAACAGCCCCAGACCATCGCACTTCCTCCTCCATATTTGACAGTTGATTACTCAGAGCACATTACTCCGGTTCTGGCCTCCCTGCACTGGCTTCCAATTGAATTTAGGATTCACTTTAAAGTCCTTTTATTGGTTTTTAAATCCTTTAATGATCTGGCACCTGCATATTTGTCTGATTTGCTGAAGCCCTATGTCCCCACTCGTTTGCTCCAGTCAGCTGAGGAGCTGTTGCTCTCAGTCCCCAAATCACGGCTGAAACTGAGAGGAGACCGAGCGTTCTTTATTGTGGCTCCAAAGCTTTGGAATAATGTTCCTCTTCACATTAGGCAATCGACATCAAATTTTGATTCATCACTCCATAATGGCTGTGTTTCATTGGCCCAGGCAAGCCTCTTTGTCTTATACTGACATCTTAGCAATGGCTTTCATGTTGCAACTCGTCCTGTCAAACCTGCAGCTCGATGTCTTCTCTTCACAGTTGAAACTGAGGCTTGCTTACTACGACCACTTAAAAATGTTGTCGTGTGAGCCACCTATCACGGAAGCTGTTGTCCTCTGATTTAGTTGTGGGTTTGGGTCTGCCAGACCTCTTCCTGTCAGATTTTGCTCCAGTTTCTGAGTGCCTTTTGATGATGGAGAAAACTCTACTTACTGACACCTTGACTTTCTTTGCAATTTCTCTGTAGAAAGACCTACATTTTTAAGTGTCATCAACCCTCTTTTATTGTTAATTGCCTTTTTTCTCGTCATTTTTGTTAACCCATTTTGTGTTCCCTTAAAAAGGACTTTTTGTATAATTCTGGAACATGCATTATTTTTCAGTTATGGGTTACCTTACCTTTTTTTTTATACCTCTGGCTGTTCACCACTTGCCTTTGTACCATTTCAAGCTATTCATTGGACTTGAACGACCTGAATTGCAATAAATAACTAGAAAAATTGGGGTGCTCTAAAGCTTTAGAAAATCGTTTTCTTATTAAAATATCTTATGTTTGCCATTGTAAATGTGTGGGGCTTTTTTGATGAGTGATTTTTATGTTTAGATGTAAACAAAATTCTGCAGTTACACACAATCATGTTTTCAATCCAGGAAAATCCATTCCGCAACAGGATCGTGGAGTCATTCTCAGAGGACGGGATGGGAAATCTTAGCTTCAATGAGTTTGTGGACATGTTTTCAGTCCTGAGTGAAATGGCTCCTAGAGAACTCAAGGCCATATATGCCTTTAAAATATACGGTAACATTTCAAAGCATCAGTACGTTATAGAACTTCATTAATTAAAATGTTCTAATTCTAACTTCTGTTGCTGATAGATTTCAATGTGGATAATTACCTGTGCAAAGAGGACCTGGAAAAGACTCTGAATAAGCTGACAAAGGAGGAGCTGACTCCTGAAGAAGTTGAGCTGGTGTGTGAGAAAACCATTGAGGAGGCAGATTTGGACGGAGACCACAAACTTTCTTTTGCTGACTTTGAAAATATGATATCCAGGGCCCCGGATTTTTTAAGGTAAATAAATTCATGTTATTGCAACAACATTGATAAATGAAAAACAGAATTGGACTCTGACTCCTCCCACAGTCCAAAGACATGTTTGTTAGGTTAAAATAAAACAACTGGGTGGTATGTCATTACTTAAACCATGTCATGCAGACACGTTGTAAAAAGAAAAGGCCTGGATTTCAATCAAAATTGAGGTGATTATAATTGGTCCTAGAAATCTCACAAACATTGTGCGTAATCAGGTACTTATTCTGGATGGCATTACTTTGGCCTCAAGTAACACTGTGATGAATATTGGAGCCATTGTTTGACCAGGATTGTCATGATCTGCTGGCGCAGACTGCGCTTTGAACAGAGGACTGAACTGCAGATGTTTATAGACAGGACTGGGCTTAACAAAAAGCGAGCCGTTAATTTAGGCTGGGTGAAAATCAAACAAAAACGCAAAACAAAAGGCAAAATGAGACTCAGACTAACAACAACCTAAACTGTGCATGGAGCATGGAGCAAGGAGGGAAATGAACTTGCGTTCCGGCAAGGGACAACAGGGAACTGACACAATGAATACACAGGTGATTAGAGAGCGGAGACAGCAAGGAAACATAGCTGAAACAAATAAGACACAGAAACAGGAAGCAAAACTAAACACAAGCACATGAGACAAGGGCCATCAAAATAAGACAGGAAACTCATTAAGGCGCAGGCTAAGGTACACAACTTGACGTGGGAAAAAAATAGCTCACACAGCAGACATACATGAAAGAGCTGAAAGACAGAGCGAGCCAGGGAGCTAGAGATGAGAGAGAGAGAGAGAGAGAGAGCGACGGAGGCAGAGGGGAACAGAGCGAAAACAAACATGACAGAGAGAATAAACAGAGACATAACCGGGGAAACGGATAAATAAACACAAGACAAGAGGGATGAGACAAAGACTTACGGAACAGACAAGAAACCAAAAATACAAATAAACCTTAGAGGCAATAAAGGAACTAAACTCAAGACTAAACTGTACAAAACTTGAACTTAAAACAATCTTCATCATGCAAAAGAAAGAATCATGAATCCAAAATAAACTCAAAACGCTGGGTCAAAAACAGGACCAGGAAAAGGATATGACTGCTTTCTTTTATTTGTGCAGTATCTCCAAAATTAGAACTATCCCTTTACAGAGAAATGATGAACAACCAGTTCATGTATTCATTACTGCTGTAATTTAATCATGCTGCTCTAAAACGTCTGTAAAAAGCCTTCAGTTTATCCAAAATTCTGCAGCAAATGTAGAAACAGGAACAAGAGCCAGAGAGATCACATTTATTCCATGTTGGCTTCTCTTCACTGGCTCTTTGTTAAATACAGAATTGAATTTGAAATCCTTCCCACTCCTAAACAGTTTTGAATAATCACCCCTCCCCAGCTGATCACAGCAGATTGCTGCCCCTTACTGAGCCTTATTCTGCTGGAGGTTTCTTCCCGTTAAAAGGGAGTTTTTCCTTTCCACTGTCACCAAGTGCACGGTCACAGGAGATTGTTTGGATGTCGGGGCTTTCTCCAGAATACTTTAAGGTCTTTATCTTATTTGTTGTTGTGATTTGCTGCTAAAATAACTAAACCTGAATTGAATTGAATCTTTTGTATATGCTTAAACTTATTTTGTGTATTTTACATTGTGTTTAATTATGTGTCTATTAATGTCTGTGTCACCACTGTTGATTAAACTGTTATCTTGTCTGTCTTGGCCAGGACACTCTCGCAAATGACATTTTAAAAATGAAGAATCTTATTTCTCAGGTTGAGTAAAGGATAAAAATGTTTCATGCACAGTAATTGTTACTTTTCTAATAATCAACTTTATTATTTTTTCAGTACCTTTCATATAAGAATCTGAGAGGGTTGGATGGACAGCTTCTAAGTTGGCTGGACCTCAAGACTTTACCTGAGCCATGTCCTGATCACAGCACCGTGGTTGTCTGTCACTATCCATCGCCCCTCTCTGACCTTTACTGCAGTCAGAACTTGAGAAGATGGATTCTGATGACAGCAAATTTTCTAAACCCTGTAATTATTTTGAAACCATGAAAAGGCAGCATATCAAATGTTTGAATTTGATGCTAAAAACAAGAAGAAGGGCTAGAAAAATGAAAAGCTGACTAAGACAAAAAAATAATCACAGCTACCAAGTATCATAGTTAAATAGTAATGTGACCGGGTATAATGAAAAAGAGCAACTCAGAGAAATGCATTAGCTATTAATTGTACTACATAATCTAATCAAAAGTTCAGAGAAGATGTTGTCTTCTCAAAAAGATGTCTCTCTATGCAAGAACAAAACTAAAAACCGATACTGAACGACACACTGTATTAAAACCAGACATATCAGCAGTGAATATCATTGCTTGGTCTCAGGAACACTTTCAAAACCATTATCATTGAAACTACATTGCACATGATTCCCTGTGAAGTCTTTCTGCAGTGGCACCTCCAGAGACATCCAGTATTCATAGAGCTACAGATAAAACTTGAAGCACAGCAGCAGGATTAGGGGATATTCTATAGCTATGCAATAAATTAAGTATTTATGTTATTATTGTGCTCGTACTTTGCTTGAATATAATGACAGTCATGTTGTACTGTTCTCCAGTTAGATGAAGGGCTTTGTCATCCAAACTCTTTGTGGTAGCTTTCATCATCTGCCATTTACACAAGATGTCAGTTACTGCCATGTTTTGGATATGTATTTTATAGGACTTCATGTAATGTCTTGTATTTGTCTTCCTTTGAATAAATGTTGTTTTCCAGTGTGCTCTGACTTAATGCACTTGTAATTTACTCATAACAAAATATGAAGATGTATGCACATTAAAAATTAGGAAGCATGTGCTTCAGCTTAGCCTCTCATGTGAGCTATAATACATTTTTAGGGAGGATGTGATTATTAAGACAGAGCTGCCTCGCGTTCACCAGCCTCTGAACATCCTGCACATTCGGCTAACTTCAGCAGAAAGCTGGAGGAAATGGTTTTGGCTATGTTGGTTGATGATTAACATGTGGTGGTTTCTTGGCTGGAGGATACAGATTTGCATCAGTTAAACATGGTGTACTATGTTTTAGATTTCATGTTTAGCTCGGTAGTTCTCATGAGTCATACTGCAGAATTGGTTGATAGGTATAGCCATACATGCAGACCTTCACAGTCACTAAGGAGATTGGGTCGGCTGAGGCTTAAATCTGATTTTTCTTTCTTTTTGGCAAGTGCAATGATTGCAAAATGGTCTTGACAAGTTGAAAGACGGCCTTGGCCAAGTGCTGAGGTGCTCAAATACAGAAAAGTCACACACAGAGATACCGTTTGATGTTGTGTGTTTTGTGGAAAGCATTTTGGTATTGGTAACACAAACTGTAAAGTGTTGTGAGCTCCTATGCCACCACAGGCCCAGACAACAGGCAGAAAAGGTATGCATGGTGCATCTGAGCAAACTCCATGTTTATGTGCAACACCTCATCTGGATAAAACACAAGTGCAGCAGTAAATGGAATGAATTCTCCTCAACTGTACTCTGAAAAATGAAGAGAGGGAAACTGAGGGCCTTATTTTAACTGACAGTTAAAATCTGTTCAGCTGTTGTGTTCAGTTTAATAAGCAATCACCAGAGCAGCTAGTTAATTCTTCAGTGTCTTATCTGAAGATTCATTTATGAGGACAGCATCAAATATTCAGGGCAGTAGAGTGCTGATTGCAGAGCTTCATTAATGAAGGGAACATCTGTTAGTTATGATCTCGGCAGAGCCACTTTCTGCTGCAGTGTGATTATGATGCTGTAAAACAGCCATTACTTTAAGCAACTGTTTCTGAGGGTGAGAGCGGCCCAACAGGGTGTGAAACCCACGCTGGTTTCGCTGCTTGAGAGCTCAATTTGATCTGATTTAAACTCTCTCGCTTTGCTTCGACAGCATAGCGGTGAAGATTTCTCGCTTTTCTTTAAAAATGAAATAACTTGTGAACAATTTTAAACACTTCACTTGAGCCAAATATACATTCAAAAGTGTACATAAACCATAACAAATAATCAGTGACAGCGTTAAGTGAGTAAGCTGTGTGTTTGCGATTGTTTCGAATATTCTTTATGGCAACTGAGAAAACGTTATCGAGATAAAGACACTAATGACATGTGGGTGAAAGCTCTCACACTAATAGGTAGAACTTAAATGCAATTTACATTTATTATACGATCAACAATAAACCTTCAAGCTTCAACAATTTCACGAGCTTTAAACACAATAATACACTGTGCTGTTAGTAACGGTGTAATATGCAATGCCTATCAAACACATCAGTTACGCTTAAGTGTTTCTTAATGCTACATAAAGTAGTTATTTATATAATTGTAAGAATGTACTGCTTAATCGCTGTCAACCTTACACATTTTGTTATGTCAGTGTGCTTTCAGATGTGCAGAAATACAGTCAGGCAGTTATGACTCTTGTCTTTGATAAGTTTTTAAAATCATTACCCCATGTTTTCCAGTGACGCTTTATCATGTAGATCTCAATTGTGAAACAGAAGGCGACAGAAATGCCACAAAGTTAATGATCTGCCAAGCTGAATGTTTGATTATCAAGAGCTTTAGCATATCCTAGTCTGCACTGCCTGACTTAAACCAGGAACTGCTTATTTCCTAACATCTGTCACACTGTCCTACATGAAATGACACAGTAGCTCTACTTTTCTCCCCCTTTTTTTTTCTTTTTACTGCTTCAGAGGATAACCATGAAAGATATACACTAAGTATTCCCTTTATTGTACTTTTACTGGCCCCAGTAAAAGTATAATTAAAAAAGTAAAAGCAAATGATAGAAGTTAATAAACCTTTAACCCACTTCCCCGTTGGTGTCACAAACAGACGTTTGAAAACTGTATGCAAATAAAGTTTCCTGTGAATGTGCAAAACTGACGGAAGCAGCATGTAACATTTTTAAAGATCAACTGTAAACACGGTGCCATGAGATGAATTTCCACATATGGTAATTTTCTGTGACAACATGATTTAGTGTTCTCAGGGAATGCTCTTTGAGTGAGCGATGGAAAACCATAACCAGAGTGCATTACATGGCCAAGGCAAGCTAAAGGTGGAAGCATTTTCATAGCAGTAATAATAGTTGTAAGTTGTTGTATCCTGATTTATTTTTATTTATTATTTGCATCTCGAGCTCCACACGTGGAAATGCTGTCATCGCTCCACAGCAGCTCTAAACCGCACATCCTCATTTCTTCACAGTTATCCTCTTCTCCATTACCTACAGCCCGTAGACATATCTGCATACATATATGCATCTACAGGATACATGTTGACAGGAAAGTGTAGCATATACGCCCAGGTTTGTCTGCACTGATGAGAAGTAGATGAAAACAGTTCTCCTCAACATAAGCTGCAGTTCAAGGTGAATCACATGCTGTGGACTGAACAGCAGGTTTTTCCCCCTTTACAGTCATACTTTCATTGGGGCCCCTGAAACCTGCGTAGGGCACTGCTGTACATTTTCCCCACCCTAATGATCACCCCGAAAGTAATTATTTAGTAATATTCTAATAACAGTAATGGCATAATAATGATCTTAGAGCCTCTTATACAGTAGATTGCTTTTAATATGACATACACGTAACACAGTTTTTACCACATGTAAAAACCTGTTCGTGGAAAGGAAACTACACACGTATCGTTATATTTTTAAATAAATACGTTAAAAAAACCATACATAAGTTCTCATTAAATCGTTAATACATAACAGTGGTTTTCCAGAGTGTATTATGTAGTAGTAGTGTGAAATCATCAAAACAAGTAAACGTTTTCCTCAGTACGCTGTAAAGTAGCCTCTTTACCATTTCTTCTTGTTCTCAGGGAAGAGCCACTTCCATTTGTCGTTCTGTAAGAGGTAAATAAATTCATTATAATACAAGTATGACACACAAAAGAATTATTTCTTTTAATTAAAGTGCTTTGAAAACATTACAAACCTTAAATCCCCAGGACGAGTTGGTCTGTTTGCGTCTCATGTCCTCCAGAGGCTCGTAAGTGTTGCTGCTGGCTTTAGGGTTGATTGGTTCCTTGTGGCCGCGAATCGGCTCATATGTGAAGTCAGCGGGGGCTTCGCCGGGGACCTCGGCATACACAGAATCTGTGCGCTCCTCTGGTATTGACAATCTAGTGTCAAAGGACGTAGTGTGTGGGCTCCCGGGCCTGCCAGCCAGGTGATAAACTGCATTATCACTCAAGTAGTCCAGGCTGTGGCTGCTGCTTGGTCTGCTGCCCAAATCTGTCTTCTCTGACTGGGAGCTGCTGCCGTTACCTTGTCTGACTGGCCTGGGGGAAAGTCTCGGAGGGGTGTCGGGAGGTGCGTTCAGTCTATAAGACTGCTCCCCGTCAGAACTGCTGTCCAGGAGTGGCAGAGACCTGCTTTTGCTGTCTAGGATGCTGAGCTCCGAGTAAACGGATTCTGGATGTGACGGAGGACTACATCTGCCATTGATTTGATCCTTGGAAGTCGAACTCGAATTAGGTCTGGGTAAACTGTCCTGATGCATGTGTTGGTCTCTGGGTGTAACCCTTGGCGACTGCTTCCTGAGCTGGGCGTACAAAACCCCCTCATGCTCATTGATGGTGGCACTATCGAGGTGCCTGCTCCTTCGAGGCAACGGCGGACCTTCCTGTTTTACAAAACAAGTTTCTAAAAGTCAGTGAGGTGAAATAAACAATGGAACTATTTTCAGCACATTAGTTTGGACAGCAGCTCTATAATTTATTGACTGTATTCACCTCGTGCGCCCTGTTGCCCTTTGGTGGCCGTTTAGGCTGCTCATCTAAACTCGAGTTTATCTGTTTTCGTTGCCTGTTCTTCACAGCGCTGACAGCGGCAACAGGTTTTTCTTTGGGGCTAATCTGGATAACATCATATAGGTCTTCATCCAGGGCCTGAAAGAACAAAACATCACTTGGACCTCTATCTTTCACCTTTGGCATTTAAAGAAAGAACTCAAAAGAAGAGTTTTGTCTCACCTCAAAACACGAATTTGTCAGGTACTCTCCATATGGTTCAATGGGGCTTGTTTTGTAGTAATCTACCAGACTGGGCACTGTGTCGTGTACCTCGGTGTCTCCATAGACTACAAACTGCCCCATTTCATTCTGGTTTATCACAAAGTGTCGACAACGATCCCTGCCTCTGCAACAACAACAACAACAAAAAAAAGTTTGTTAAGCATTGACACATTTTATAGTTGGAGCAAACTAAAATAACAGATATTCACACGACTTTCTGACTTTTGAAACATGAATATCCTCCAATAAAATAAGCCACCAAACAAAAGCTTAGAAGTGGGGTTAGAAAATAGATCGATTTGATCGATTTGACACACATTATCTTTAAGACACTTTATATATACATAAGTCATAATTTCTGGAAACAAAGCAGTTTACCTTCAGCAACACAACAACACTAAACAACTCCTACTTTAGTGTTCTTTAGACTAAACCACCACTCACCTATAGGACAGGATGTACCCGATGGCCTTTTCACTAAGACGGATCAGGAAACAGCCGAGCTCCCTTTCTTTAAGAATTCCTTCAGCATCCCTGTAGACAGACCAACAACAGCTTTAAATTCTCCAAATCCTAACTTTGAAAAGTGTTTCAAAGACATTTGGAGAACATTTACAGGAACAGCCTGGTAGATTATGGGCATAGCGAGGTGGATTGTGTGCTGCACCGTGGAAATTCTATTTCGTTACAGTCCCTTTCCATAAACTTGCCACTGCCAATCACGTAAGTGTGCACTAAATGTGGGTGGGTGCTGGAGGAAAGGCCAGTAGGTGCCAGTGGGTGTATTACAAAGTGGACACTTTCCATCAGAGGAAAGGTTTATTTTTATTTTTATTTTTTTATTTTTTTTTTGGATACATTTTCACAATATGACCAAAAATAAAAATAAATACATGAACAAAAAGCCTCGTGTCTTTTTACATTACTATATTATATGTTTTAAATTATATGCAAAGAAAAAAATTTTTTAAATGTGGCTTTAGTAGCTTAGAGGATATGATTTGGTTTTAGAAAAAAAAAACTGGGTGTAAAAAATGATTATTTCTCAGTTTGCTATTTCCATTTTTTTCCTTTTATGAATCCTTACCGTCTTGTGATGAAGCCCAGGAACCAAGCTGGAAGGAGTCCGTTGCTGACCATGAGTGGCACCTGAGTCTCTATGAACCACTTTGATGTCAGCTCCCTGAGTCTGACTTCAGTCCCGTCTGCATTAGGATCCCCTGTTGTGTCCCTTTGCTCCATCCTCGTCCGATCCTGATTAAAAACACACCGTCATCCGCTGAAGACAGCCAGCATTTATTCCCCAATGTTTGCTGTGTGGCAGCATTTTAACAATCTAATTTGCTTATTTTCCAGGAGGCGTCAACCACAGCCTGAAAGCAGCTCAATGTTCTCATAGCTTTAAATGAAAGTCATTGGCTGCTGGAAAAGTCCGGTTACACCTGTCTGTGTAAAGCGAGCTTCTAGTTTAGTACACAGCATTTATTTGCTGTTACATGATCTGTAGAAACATGATCATGATCTGATGTTTTAGAGAAAAAATATTCAAAATCCACAATGTTCTCGTTTTACTCAAATAATACTTTGAGGTTTTATAATCTATCTCTAAGTCAAACATCACATAAAAGCAAGTTAGTCACTAAGACAGTCAGCGACTAGTTCGAAAAAGACTTGTAAGCAGTTCTTACCTTGAAGCAAAATTTTAAATAGGTCCTGATGCAGGGAGATTTTGTCTGTTTTTGATCCTTTGGTCTCGACTGTGAAACGCGGCACACCTTTTCAATTCTGGGATACTGTTGTCTGTAAAGTAAACAGCAATTCCTTTCAATCCCTGGAAAGAAAAGATCAGAAAATTAATTTAATTATGAATAATTGAATTATAAAGTTCATGCAATATTCCTATAAAGTATTTAACAATGGCGAGAGCACATACCTTTCCTTGAGATTGTCACTGTGCGGTTTGAACCCGGTGTCATTTCAGCAAACATTAAAATACTTCTCTTAACTTCTGAACCGTCTCTAATCTCCAACTGAAAGTGTCTTGAGGGAGTATGACACTACATGGGAGATATAGACAGATGACATTTACAATTACACATATTTTTCCACTGGTCTGGAAAGTAGAGGTACATGGCAACGGGCAAGGCGCAGTTCAAACAGTTCATTTGCATCAAAAAGACAGCTGAAGGCTGCTGAACAATGTGAGAGCTTCCTGAAGAGAAACGGAAAGTAAGCTTTACAGAAACTGTGGTTTGTGTGCACACGAGTGCATTGGTTTGCAAGAGGAGATGTTTAACCCACGGAGTGTCTGATTACCAGAGTAATGGGAGATAAGTTGCGTCAGCAGTTGATCTTTTGTGTTTTCTGATCTGGGTTTGAAGCAAGTTCAGATCATTGTTGCTAAAGCTGAACCAAAAATGTGTAGGAATGGAAATGTTTGGAAAGACTGTGTATGTTTGAGCAGATTTGGAGGGTAGAGGGCGGGGCAATAAACAAAGCCCCAGTAAGATGAGGTATTTCCAAGCTTGTTTTTCAGGTTCACATACAGTAAATACCTGCTAACTCATTCCCCCCATTGGTTGGGACAGGCGTCATGAATCACCTCCAGCAGTTTATGCTCTGTGGGGAACAGTAGGAACTCCCACAGGGGGAGATGCAGTAACGAGAAAGAGTCTGTGTCATAGCGAGCAGGATGAGATGGGATTTCACAACGGGATTTTAACATCACTTACAATTTGGAAACATGTTTCCTGTTTATACACAACTGATCAAACACTTGGGTATTGTGTACAGCAATGTCATTTAGTGTAATTTAATTTAATTTAGATGAATGATCGCAGAGCCAATAACTGAACTGTTATGTTCCACAAATGAGTAAGAGCTGCTGTACAGTACCATGGCCTAGAATTTCAACACTCTCTTAAGGCGGCTCTTGTTGTTCTTTGTGAGTCATTATGTACTCCTCTGTGGGAGTAGTAAGGTTTGGGGTTAAATGTTATCACCGGTCCGTGTTTGTAAAGAATCCAATGAACAATACATTCGACCGATCGCGCTGTGTGCTGTGCGTAAAAGGATCGGCAGAAATTTATTTTATCTACAGCACATATAAAAAAAGGTGCCAGACAGGAGGATGTCTAGGCTGATATTTTTTTTAGCCTAACACACCTATGAGGGGGATGTGGATCTTATAAAAGGTCACAAGTCAGTTTAACAAATGCAAAATGTCATTGCAACGGAAGCACATCACCTTTGTTTACAGTGTCCTTTGAAACCTCAGAGCAAAACAAGGATCCTAACCTCACAAAGAGACTAATAATTCTAATTGTAAGAAAACTAGCAGGTTACTGTTGTTACAGTATTACAGTATTGCATTTTGTTTTTTTAAGCTGCAGTTTTATCTTTGACATCTCAAGTGGGGAAACATCAGGTGTATTTCCCAGCATAAGACAAATCATCCACTGTTTACCCACAGCACTGGGGCAAAACTAAATCATATTCACATCTGCAACCATTAGTCACCAAAACATCCTGAACATGTGAAACTTCTGCCAGCTCTGAATCCAGGAGACAAATTTCCTGTAATCACTTCAATATCTCCTCTTTCGCACTCTAGTTAAACGAGCTATGGATTCGACTTAGTCACATATATGCTGTAGGTTTTATGAAAAGTGGAAAGGTACGTCATTTCAGGTGGTGATATTTTATTGGAACATTTCTGTACTTTTTTTGACTTATCACTTAAATTGTAAATAATGCCACTATTTATGTATTTATTTTCATCCATTATTAGAACAGATTGAGAAAAGTGACAGTGAGATAGAAGAAAGTTAAAGTAGGCTCACTGTGGTTACATGCACTTTAGCACTAACCCAACACCCTGACACACTTTATGGCATCTGTGGCTTTATACTTACTGCTTACTTTGGAGATGAAAAAAAAAATCAACAAAATATGGCGAAGGTTGTTTGTATCTCCAAAAATGTTCATTTTTAATGCTCTTCAGCTCAAAATCTCTGTGCATTTCTAACATTAGATAACTCTAAACACCTTTCTTAGCCTTAATAGGGCTTTGACTGTCATGTAAGCATGGAAATGCTAAAAACTGGAGGAAGATATACTGATATTATTTGTCATCTTTTTAACCGTCAGCTAGGCAATACAGGCAGCTACTCTGAGGTGACAAAAAGCTCCCAGTGGTTTGGATTTCCAGTAGATCTCTGACCTGCTCACTGTTTATAACCCAGTCAGACCTGTCAGTCCTTCAGCTGGAGATCTGGTAAATGTTTGCCATTGTCCTAAGACATTGCAAAACCTACTTAGATTTATGTTTTTCTCTCACGTTTTAGCACACTGAATCTATGTATAATGAAATGTGCTATCTTAATAAAATTACCTGAGCTATTTATTAAGTTTTTTTTTTTTAAATTTACAGCTGTATCCTGACATATTCAGTATCTGTTCGAGGTTATAGATACAAATTGGGAAACACACACCGCCATAAACAGTACAAAGCAGTTGAAATTAGCATAACAAGAACAAGAATTACAAGATCGGCTGCGTGTGACACGGGTGTGGGTGTGGGCACCGCAGATCATTTTGTGCCGAGGGCAGATAACAGAACGCATTTTTATTTTTCTTTCCTATGTAGGCCTCGTATCTTTTCTTCTATCTTTTGATTACAGTTTTTTTTTCTTTACAATTCGTTGGAGGATTGCTGCTCATTAGCCCTCAAAGCTGGCTGCTCATCTGATCACACACCGCCACCTAGCGGCCCACAGAGCCACTACACTCCACCACAACCAGCAAACCAACTACGTCATCCTCGGAGCTGAACTACATGTCCCATGCTCCTCTGTCAAAGAAACGGACAGTCATGTGGATGGAAACAGGAGTGGGCATCCGCTGTGCTGCAAGAAGAAGAAACTTCGAGGAAAGATGCACGAAGAGGAGGATGGCAGCGAGGCGCACTCCTGCACGGCTTCGCGATTCGTGAACTCCAGGTCCGTGGATGTGGCCGACATCGAGGGAGCGAAGGAGCAGGCCTCCAAACTGTGTGGCTACTTGAACAAACTGTCCGGCAAGGGGCCCTTGAGGGGGTACAAGCCGAAGTGGTTTGTGTATGATCCGAGGAAATGCTATTTGTATTACTTCAAGTCTCCCCAGGATGCCCTGCCGCTCGGACACATCGAAATATGCGATGCGTGTTTCAGCTACGATTTGGACGGGGAAGAGGGTCAGTTTGAGATCCGCACGGCCGACAAAGAGTTTCTACTTAAGGTAGGAACTTTTCTTTCTTTCATTAAACGTGTGTTGACAGCATTGCAACGAGGTCTGCTTTTCATGTCATTTGTCACTTCCTTTCTCGTTTGGAAAAGGCAGACACGCCCTTCTCTTCTTTCCTTTAAAGAAAACAGATTTAGACTCAGCTGTTTTTAGGCAATAAAGTACATATTTCTGCTCGGCAACAACGTGATCTGATTCGATTTGACGCGATCAGAAGAAGAAAATCTGTTTGTTTGTTTTTTTTAAAAGCCAAATCAATTTCTCGCACAAACCAAGCGCTTAATCAGCGCATTCTCCCAGCTGATTGCCTGCAAACACCGTCAGTCCTCTGTTTTGTGTTTAGACATTTTTACACAGGAGCTCATCTGCCTTCACGGGTCACAGCATCTCATGTGACGGTGTCCTGGTGCTGTCATATGACTGTGACGGGTTCAGCACCAAGACAGGTGCCTCTGGTTTCACTCAGTCAGTTCTAGTCTGTCTTATTATTTTTTTAGTGTCTATGCTTAATACCAAGAGAGAGAGAGAGCTGGAACTGAGACTGAAACCAGTGTCTGTGCTCATTCACATGACAGATCCTAATAGTGTCAAGTTGTCCTCATTTTCCCTTTCCATTTGTCGCTGCCTTGATTTCCTCATGGAGATGCCTTTTAAAACGTCATCTCGCTCACTTTGCTGTGTTTAAAATGGCGTGCTTAAAGATTTCAAAAATCTAAAGTCTAATTGAGTGTGCGTTTGTATCCTTCTAGGCTCCCAGTAAGCAGGTGATGCACTACTGGCTGCAGCAGTTGCAGCAGAAACGTTGGGAGTACAGTAACATGCGAGGCTCTGGTCAGAGAGACAGCTGGAGCTCCCCGACGCTGGCCTATCCTCACACCGGCCTTGTAGGCAAAGATAATGGTAGGCAGGTTCGCACGCACTCACACATACAGTGGATATGTTATCAGTCGGTCATTTCATCATATCCGGGCAACAACTGAAAGTTTACACAGGCGCTACAAATCACAAGAGTCTCGCGTATTTTGTTACCAAGTTTCTGCAGTGTTTCGAAAGGGTAAAAGTTCAGATTGACATCATTCGGCTTGTGTTTTGTTTTAAGCAGAAAGCCCTTCGAGCTGTGAAGCAAAGGCGCTGGTATCGTAACCTCACGTCTAAACAAATATAAAGTAGGCAGTCAAGTAATGGTCTGTGACAAAAATGATATGTTTATTTGTTTTCCAATTTTTTTTAAATATAAATTGTTGAGAGGAGAACAACCAGACTCATTTGAACTGATGGGAAGGGAACAGTAACAGAAGAAAAGTATGCAGACGAGGGTCTTTCACTTCGCAGCATGTCAGATTGACAGGGTCAGAATTTGTCATAAACACCATGAAAGCATGGTGTCATCTTGCCTTATATCAGTACAGCCTGCTGCGGGTGGTGTTAATAAAAAATGAGCATTGTTTATACTCAGGAAAGCCTTCCTGAGCATTGTTCCTGAGCATTTCCATCCCTTTATTACCGCAGCAGCCATCAGAACACAGTCACCGATGCTGGCTTCCAGTTTGATTGTGTGACATGTCTCAAAGCTCGCATCATGCAAAACTGATGATTTAAGCGTTTGAATGGTCTTGAAGATCTCAGTGAGTGCTCAAACGGCCACAGTCACCAGATCTCAATCCAACAGAGCACCTTTAGGATACGCTGTAACGGGAGATTTGCATCATGTGTGCGCAGTAATTGTGTGATGCTATCATGTCAACATGGACCAAAATCTCTGAGGAATGTTTCTTGTTGTTATGCAACTCCAGAAGCAACATGGTGGCCAGCGTGGCCTAGCAAGGTGTACCTAATAAAGTAGCCAATGACTGTATACGCCGGTGCTGATATGTTTGAATGAGTATCTGTTGGACTCTACATAAAATATGAATCTCATTTGTTATCCAGCAGAAGTGGAAAAGAAAATATGTACATCCATATCTGTGGCTAATAAAGGACTTTAATGAGGACACAAGCATTTTTAAGCCTGTTTACATTTGAAAACAGGGATTCTTCTGCATGCTTTGTGCTTAGCTGAGTGAAACGACCTGTGAATCCTTTTCCTGTCCATGTCTTTCTTTCCCAGAATGTTCTCGGTGCACATCTGTCTTCAAAAGCCACAAACGCCTTGGTTATCACCGCTTATCAGTGCTGTTGTCGCCGTGTTTCATCTAACCCTCCGCGACTTCTTGATTTCTCTGTCGATTCAGAATGAACACTCTTTTGTTTCTTGTTCTCGTATTCATTTGCGTTTTGCTTTTCGGTCTCGCCTTGAACCTGCTCGGTGCAGTGAAGTGCACGAGAGAGCTGTGAGATCAGCGATGTCTGGCGTCAGCTCAAACGATCCCTCGAGCTGTGTTTTTATGTCGCACTTTTTATAGCGAAAGACTAACATGCCCGGGCTTAGCAAGTCTAAGTAAGTGTCGACTTTTGAAGCTCTAAAAGGAAAGCGCGCTGCAACGTTCAGAAGTTAAAACTGGTTCAGAAGTAGACATAGTAACACATAATAAAGACATAATAAATTAGACATATAAAGGACGTTGGTTTTTATTTTCATTCTTGGAGATGCCACTTCAAAGACTTCAAAGATTTTATCAGAGACACGCGAGTCTGATCATAGGTGCGTGGCGCTGGCTGCACTACATGTTGTTGGCCATAGTCTGTGTGTGAAGTCTCACAGCATTATTAATGTCACTACCTCGATGATTAAAAGCCAGATGTGGCATGGGTCGATGAGAAATGGAGGCCTGCCGCACACTCATATGGAAGTGATTTGTCACTCGCAAGGTAGGCCAGCGCATCCGCTGCTTAATCATCCTTTTTATTTTTTAGTCTAACTGGAAGCATAATATATGAAAACGAAGCAGTATTCATTGAAGCTTAACAACTAGAACCTGACATCATGAACTCATCAGGAAAGTGTTTACTGAAGTCACAGACAAAGGAAGCAGAAAGAGGTGTTTTCCCACAGACAGACTTCATTTTTCCAAGTATGACTCAGACACCCCCTGCTGGCAGTTTAAACCACTTCTGCAGTAGCATCACTTTTTATGACACATCTAACAAATAAAAAAGCTTCTTTTTACTAATTAATTTCATGTTAAGAAGGGGGTTGGTGGTCTAAGAAAGAAGTAATTGTTAGAAAGCAGGTATTAACTTGCATAGGTTTCACCCGGCTGTGCATCTTGTTCTTGGGAAGTCAGTCTTTGGTGTCATTTTGATTTGATTTTTGTTTAGTTAGAACAGATAATTAAGTTCTTTTGGTCTTTTTTTTCTCAGATGCTTTCAGCTTTGAGAAGCCATGTGAAACCATGGAGAAGGTCCGCAGTGATTTTTCCATGGACGACGAAACAGAGGGCGCTGGAATGGTGGGAGCCCAGACAGCCAGAGGGCCCTCCACGAACCCCCTCAATTTCTCCCTGAAAAACTTTGGCACGGAGCTCAGGTGAGTGTAACGAAAGCTTTCCAGGAAATAATCTGTACCCAGACGGGGTTTAAAACGCAAGTATACAGCTCTATAAAATCTTGTTCGTTTTTTTTTTTTTTTTTTTAAGGTCGCCGCCGAACAGGCACGACTAGTTTGTCTGCTGTGTTGAGCAAAGAAAGCACTTCTTAGTTCATCCAGACACTGGTTGCAGTAGAGGAAATGGTTACATCCATGGTTCACTTGTTTTTCTAGTATGCAACCATCAGCAGTTCCCCTTTTTGAGATGTACAACACATCTATTGAAAAGAGGCAACATGCTGCAATCCTAAAAATGTGACATGTAGACTGGAGTTTGCTTTGTATGTGTCCCTTATTAAGGGAGTCTTGGAGTCCCAGAGTTTCACTGCTCCTAAACCCACACCACGGTGCCTTTTATACACAGTAACAAAGGTATCAGTATAGTAGCTGCCTGATATGTGACTGAATCTGCGAGAATTGCAGCTCTCGGAGCTAGAAACCCCTCCCCCCGATTAGAAAAGAAGTGGCTTTAGAATACTCCAGTACTGTGACGTTAACTGCTTTTGTCACGCTTATACCCATAAAGTTTGAGAAAAGCACGAGCGCTCTTTAGTCACTTTGGTTTTGCCAGGTGGAAGTCAGAAACGTGTGGTTTAAACACATCCGATAACTATAAAAATATATATAGAGAGCTGATGTGTGAGGCAGACTTGCGTTTCATTGTGTTGCATACAGCAGAAACAGTTGTTGACATGTTGCAATGGTGAGGTGTGAAAAACAAGTTTGACACCATTAGCTTTACTTTTTCCATGTTAGCTTCTTGCAAAAATGCCTTTGTGTTTATCGTCTTTGTTTTTTCTCTGTTTGTCCGACGCTGCAATCCCGTCGGCCTTTTGCAGCAGCATCAGTTTTCCTCTGTGGTTCATCGTAGATCTCTGTGGATTTGTCACTTTTCATACCGTGTTTTCTTTAATCTCTAAAGACCCCTTTTTTTGTTGCAATGAAATATGTGAGAAACCTGTGAAATAAAAATAAATAAATAAATAAAATATCTCCTGATTTCTGTCAGGAACTCCATGTCTCACCTGCGTGGGGGACGACGCAGCGTGTTTTACACTAGCAACAGTCCCTCGGAGGAATGGGAGCTCGTGGATCCGCCAAAGGACTTTACTGAACAGAAACATCATCCGGACACACACAGACGTACGTCCACTCCCACCAACCCTTCTGCCAGGGTTTAACACTCATCCTCAGCGTACATTTCTCCCGAGGGTCACAGATAACAGCTGATGAACTTGTGTTTTCCCTCAGATTCCTTTGGATCGGCGTTTACCTTTGATTTTGTGCGCAACCCCTCGCGGCCTAAGAAGCTTTTGCTGGGCTCTGGAAAGTTAGGCCGCAGTGCCGAAAGCTCGCCGGTGGAATGTAACGGCAGCAAGTCTTTGGAAATGCAGCTTCGCCTCCAGAGCCAGCAGCAGCAGGAAGAACTGAGTCGCTTGCAGCAGGAAGAGGCTAAACTCAAGGAAGAGCTGGCCACCCAGAAGGTATAGTTGGATCTCTTCTACTACTGTTATTTATAACAGCATAACACATGTGTATGGATTGGATTGGATAAAAATGTAATGTTCTGTTTCTACTGAAAGTGAATGATCCCTGTTTGTAGTGTCTGTTATACACCACAAGCCTAGGTTTGTGGTGTCTGACCAAGTGCCTTGGTATAATACTGATACTCTCACTATTACAAGAAGTCAGCAAATGATTAGTCATGTTTTAGCAAGAAGCAAAGAAACAGCAGACAGCATTCACAGCTGTCGCACTCCTTCTCTTTATTTTCTGTTCTCTGTTTTTCCCCTCTATTTTAAGGTTGGCTGATTGGTCAAAACCGCTGTGACTAGGCAGAAGAGTGAATACTTACTTAGTGAATACCTTTTTTTACCTCTGTGCTTTACTTCCTGGTCAAAAGATCGATAGTTGTTTTCCTATGAAATCTGTACCAGGAGCATGATAACGAAAAAAAGTGTAACAAATTGATGTTTTCTGTAAATAATATACCATGCTGAATTTACAGTAATGATGTGTTATCATCCAGGAGCTGGTAAGGCTACTGCAGCAGACTTTAAGGACCTCCCAGAGCGAAAGGCCCGCCGGGTGCCGTCCAGCTCCGTCTCCAGATTCGTCAGCAGCCTCAGACCAGACCCGAACTTCAGTACCAACTCAGGAAGAAGTTGCACAGCTGGAGGATCTGCTTAAGGAACGAGATGGTCAGATTCAGTCCATGTGCGGTCACATGGAGCGTCTCGCCCTGGAGAAGGAGAGTCTGCAAAAAGAGCTGAAGAGCCTGAAACTTAAGGTGGGGGAGATAAACGACCAGCTTGGAATGATGATGGAGACCATCCAGGCGAAGGATGAGATCATCATGAAGCTGTCACAGGAAAACTCCGAGCACAGCGGAAATGCAAACGACGCTGGATCACCACCACCTCACAAAGAGCTGCAGGAGCTGAGCATGCTCAAGGTAGAGATGGCAAAACTTTAAATAAGATTCAAGTTATCTTAATCTTAAACTGCCATCAACATTGATTTTCTTTTTTCTGTAGCTTTTGAAATTCTGCCTGAACATCTTGACACCCCGTCTGTCTTATTATTCACCTTCAGGACAGTCTTCAAGGCTACAAATCCCAGAACAAGTTCCTGAACAAAGAGATCCTGGAGCTGACGGTGTTGCGCAGAAATGCAGAGAGTCGAGAAAAGGCTTTAGAAGCAAAGGTACTCTCTTGTGTTTTATATTTAATGGTGCATTATCCCGTTAATAGAAACAGGAAGTTTGAGTAGGTTTAGGGGAAGTCCAGTGTGAAGCTCAGCTGGTGCTTCTAAAACTTAATTTAAATTTAAAGCTGAGACTTTATTTTGCTCTCTTTTCCACAGTGTACTGCGCTTGAGGCCAAGCTGTGTCAGGTGGAGAGTAAGTACTTGGTTCTGCTTCAAGAGGTGAAGAACCCGGTATGTTCGTCTTCAGAGCAGAGCCCAGCCCGGGAGGTCATCTCCAGATTGTTAGAAGATGCACTGCAGGGCGAGAACACAGACCAGCAGGAGCACACGATCTTCAAACCAAACACTGTCAGGTATGTGCCGAAAGCCTCGTTAACAGATGCTTTGGAGGTGATTTGAAAAGAAATTACTTAAAAACGGCTACTTGATCAGAGTTTTAGGGATGGAAAAAGAGAAATCTTGAGTTTTGATAAGAGGCTGCGAGAGCCCACATGTCTGGTTTCCGACATTTATAGCAGATATGAAAATAAATGGCCAAATGTAGGTGTTGTTAGCACAGCTACGTGTCATACTCATTGCTGTGGCTTACTAAAAAAAATTCCACTGTCAATCATATGAGGGTCAAAAGTAGCAGATCTTTATTTAATAATGTTGAGCAGTTATAGCATTTCTACCAGAACCAGCACCATACCAATTCATCAGAGGACGCACTGCTTTTTTTTTACTGAAAGAGAAAATAAACTGCACTAAGAGTCCCTACGCATGTTTTTTGACTGTGAGAACGAGTTCTGCTAATCTGTATTTCAGTTTCTGAATTCTTTGCAAGCCCAGGCATGCGCTTTTTGGCTCATCAAAAATGTATTTACACATTCTGGAAACCCCTCAGTGATGTAAACATGCAGAAACCAGGATGTGAACATGTTTCTGTTGCAGCTTTGAGCGGCTTTCGAAATTCACCCACATCACTGATGAATTGTCTCTCTGTCTTGATGCAATGCTAGCGAGTATGACGTGTACGGCTTCAAGACCGTCCCCGAGGAGGAGGAAGAGGAGGAGAAGCTGATCGCAAAGGTGAGGGCCTTGGAGCTGAAGTCCCTGTCCATGACGGATCAGGAGGTTTCCGTCGGGGTCAAGTGGGAGAACTTTCTGTCCAGCACCATGAACAGAGACCTGGTTCACTCCCCTGAGCTAAAGGCCCTGATTCGTTGCGGCGTGCCACATGGGCACCGCTCCAAGGTGTGGCGCTGGTGTGTTTCTTTCCACGTGAAGAAGTTTCGTGACCACTTGCCCCCAGACTATTATGACACCTTATTAAACGTAGCAAGGGAGAAGCCAAACCCGGCCTCGAAGCAGATCGAGTTGGACTTGCTGCGTACTTTGCCCAACAACAAGCACTATGCCTCTCCGAGTGCAGGCGGCATCCAAAAACTCAGGAACGTCCTGCTGGCTTTCTCATGGAGGAATCCAGATATCGGCTACTGTCAAGGACTGAACAGGTACTAGAGCTGATCTACTTTCTTTCTGTCTCTCTTTTTCTGGCTTGTAACCATTAACCTTTTTCTTGCATGTTATTTCTTCAGGCTGGCAGCAATTGCCTTGCTCTATTTAGATCAAGAGGATGCTTTTTGGACCCTTATAGCTATTGTGGAGGTCTTCATGCCAAGAGACTATTACACCAAGACTCTCCTTGGCTCACAGGTAACAAAAAAACAGTTGAATTTTATTGTACCATGAGACAAGAAGGGACAAGGTACTGCTTATTTATTAGATTTGACAAACCTCCCTGGTGTCAGTGATATCATATTCACGTGACTGCTGTTGATGACTTACAGAGCAGGAATGCAGACATCAGCAGTCTTTGTTTTTCTTTCTGTTTGCTAAATTTGACCACCTTAGAAAATAAAGCCCCCATAAAAACACAAGCCCTGGTTTGATTCGTACAGGTTGACCAGCGTGTGTTCAAGGATCTGATGAGCGAGAAGCTACCGCGGCTACACGCCCACTTTGAGCAGCACAAAGTCGATTTTTCCCTCATTACGTTTAACTGGTTCCTGGTGGTGTTTGTGGACAGTGTGGTGAGCGACATCCTCTTCAAGATCTGGGATGCGTTTCTGTTTGAAGGACCAAAGGTAAGAGGCTTGATTCTGCTCTCATAAACCTGAATTCTAGCCTCAGCAGGAAACGGTTTTAAAGTTAATGACTAACCGGTGACGAGAGATCACTTCTCAAGCTACGTGCCGGCACACAACCGTGCATGTTTGCCAGATGGATCCAATTGCACGCTATTAAACGAATTATTTATTGCCACCAAGGAACCAAAATTCTTTAGTTTAATAAATCGTTATTTTTTGTGTACGTAAGCTAAATTTTAATGGATTGTTAACATGACCCCACTCTACACCCCTACAAAGTTTTGTATTTTTTCTAAACTTTTCAGCTCAATGACATGCAAAAAAAGGTAAAAAGGTTAAAAAAAGGAAAACGCATGCAATAACCGATTTTGACGTAGCATCCCCTTTTAGAATTTTTAAGGGAAGCATTTTAGCAAACTTGTTAAAGCAAAAATGTGCCCTATTGTGTGTTGATTGAACGATACAAGTTAAAACACTAAAGCTGTCGAGCCTAACTCTTAACAGAAACCTGATATGAACCCAGTCAAACAAAACTGCCTCAGATTAAGGCGGTATTGACTATATTTGGAGGACCTGCTTAGGGAACAGAAGAAAGGTCAGATGTTCCTGAGTAAATATTTTCATGCTACAGTCACACAGGACTTTACGCCATTTTTCTCCACAGATCATATTCCGCTTTGCTCTTGCGCTCTTCAAGTACAAAGAAGAGGAGTTTTTGAAGTTGCAGGACTCCACGGCCATCTTCAAATATCTCAGATACTTCACACGCACAATCCTGGATTCAAGGTACAGTAGCTGCACTGTTTTCGTATTTCCAGTCCTGTGAAAGAATGAAGTTTCTGTGGACAGAGTATCTGCATCACCTTGAAACAGCTTCCCGGATCTCCCTGAACTGTAGCTAAATTGTACGATCACATCACCCACAGTGTATCGGCTTTGTGCCTGTGCAAACTTCATTTCTCACACTGCAGGTGTTGCAGCAGCTCTGTGAGACGGTGCTTGAGCACAGCCATGGTTTGGACTAAATGCGGCATGCTGAGATGCAGTTGTTAAATAGATTGCTATAGGTAGCAGCCCTTACATTTAAAATTGCACTGTGCATGCTTGTTTTATACCATTTTATTGGTCAGACTCTGTTTTGGAGCTAGCCTCAAGTGGCCATTTTTGGAGCTGTAATAATAACCTACCTATTAATAAAGTTTTATGTATCAGCTCCAGAGGTGTATGCTTGATGCTGAGAGAAGGATGCAAGGGTTTACTAAATTTCAAAGACATAAAAAAAAAAATCCAGGCTCACAGGATTATGCTGTTTTTCTTTCTTCTAAAAAAAATATCTTCCAGGAAACTGATGAGCGTTGCCTTTGTGGACATGAACCCATTCCCCATGAGGCAAATCCAAAATCGGCGCGCCTTCCACCTGGAGAAAGTCCGTCTCGAGCTGACGGAGCTGGAAGCGATCCGACAGACCTTCCTCAGGGAGCGAGAGACGAGTCAGGATAGAAGGAGCTTTGTCAGCGACGACGAGGAGGAAAACTGACCTCGGGCTTGTCGCATTTCTAGGCTGAGTGGCTAAAGCACGGAGACAAAGAGATCATCTCCGCAGAGCGCCGCTGTTCTGCAGTGATGAACGGAGCGCTTTCCCCACACCTAATCGTTGGAGTTGGTCTCTGCATCAGAGCTGGAACTATCAACTTTATACGTTTTAAGCAACAACCACATCAAAAGAACTTAATGTCACAAGCTCGAAAGGGCCTATCAGTATTATCAGTATTCCTGCCATTTCTTTTTTAATTAAATCTTGTAAATCCTCTGTTTTCTGTACGCTTACGTGTTCATGCAATGGCCAAAACAACCTGTAGCACAAATCAGTATTTTCAAACAAATGGCTGCGATCCATTTCCTTTTTATAGCTGACTTTTAAATGTGTTGAAGGATTATTGTGTCATTCATTTGTGCTGTCATCTTCTACACTCACACAATTTTTTCCCTCCACTAAATTGCCACTGAGACGTGCGTGCACACAAATCACTTATGCTGAAATGAAAACGTTGCTGAAACTTAGGTCTTAAGGCCTTCAAGCGTGTATGTAACATTTCCAGTTGTAGTTTCCTTCAAGGGATGCGTCAAAAGCCACATTTCCATGGTATTATCAGTTCTAGAAAGAGCATCTGGAACTTGCTGAGCAGCAGTGCACTTTCTATAAGCCATCAAACTAACGTGAGCCAGTATTGTCTGTTTTTTAAGCATTATCAGTTCATTTTTATTTGGGAGGTTTTTATTGGCTATCGATTTTGCTATTCGTGTTGTTTAAAGTAGTTTAGGAACTGTTCACGTTCTCACAAAGACATATCTAAAAAGTCCAAACTGTATTGCACTGGATTTAATCAGTTGAGTATCTGGTATTGGCAGGATCGGTTAATCCATTCACGCTGTTGTGGGTTACGCAGTTTTTGCATGCTCTTGGTTTTCCTGTGTTTGTGTTACATGTTTAAATGGTCCAGTTTCCTTGTGCGCAATTTGTTTTTATTTGAGATTTTTCTGAGCCACTGGTGTAAATGCTGATTGTAATTGCATTTGTTGTCCTCAGTGTGGCAGTGTGACATTGGTTTACCTGGTATTTACGCTCGGCTCACAGGTACCCTCCTCGCAGTTTGACTGCACTTGAAGTGGCTGTAAAGTCATGATGATTGTTGTGTTAAAAGAAAAAAAAAATGGAAATATGATGTTAAATATATGAGGGAAGCTTTTCACTGTATTGCCAAATATCTCTGCCATTTTCATAATCGGGTACTTTAAAGTTTCCTCTTCACTGGGATCTCCTGTTTCTTACAGCAGCGTGGAGGAAAGCTGATATTCCAAGCTTCAAACGCTGTTTATATTTGATCAATCAGCTGTTAAGTGAAACTTTTCAGTCTCCTTAAATGGGATTTTGTGCACTGATGTGTTGTTTACACCCTGCTCGAGTTTTAGTTTTAGATTGTCTTGAGGTGTTTACAGAAACAAGAGATCTGCTGTCAGTTGCAGCTTTGTCAGCTGATCCCATCCCCAATGTTCACCTGATCCAATGAACAAATGGCAACAACAACAAAAAAATATTTTGATAATCAAATGAAAAAGAAGCATATAGTTGTATTTCTTCCTTTGTGAGAGCAGGTCTCTCACAAAGATCTTGATTGGTTTACAGTTAAACTTGCTTTTTTTTAATATATAAATGTCCACACATTGTCAGAAGGCTCATACAGTAAGATTTTATGTTTACTCAGTTTCTCTTTTAAGGCTAGTGGCCCCCCCCCCTCACAGAATAAGCTACATTTAAAAGTCTTCTTTTTTTAACTTTACTTTCTTTTCTGTGTTGCTTTTCCCAGAATTGTATTGCACAATTTTATTGGTAGTATGACTTCCGAATATCATATCAGCACTTCACCTTTTTGTATGCATATATCTCATCTTGCTCATTGTTAGCCTGTTTCACCTAATGATGCAAAAAAAAAGTTTGTAATATTAGTTCAATAAACAATTTGCTGGCTGAATGTGTTGATGTGAATTTCCTAATTCAAATGCTCATTCAGACACGTCTGTTAGGACGCACCGAGCAGTTATCCGAGCTATCTTTACTGACAGCCTGCCACGCTCGCGCTGCAGTTTCATAATAGAGCCATCAGAGGGAGGGACTTTACGCGCACACAAAAGCCTGATGGTGATACCACCGGTGACAGAAAACAGCAGCCATCCACCCCGGAGGAGCTGTTTTCTGGCCCCAGCTGCAGCTATGAGACGAGGAGACCAAGTGTAGGAGACGTGGACACTGATGCACCTTTATCATCAGCTCTGCAGCTGACTGAAGGTAAGACCCGGTGTTTTTAACTGCAGCCAGTTTTGTTGAGACACTTGCGAAAAACTCATGAAACTTGCCAGAGAGGAAGTTTGTGGTAATTCAGCTTGTGAACATCTTTTTTTTTTTTCTCTATACACATTTGTGTACACATACGTGTTCACTCCCATGCTGCACAGTTACCATTTTATCTCTAAATCCTTATTCACAATTGTCACAATGGCCATGTTCTGATATTTACAAAGCCTGTGTAACTGCCATTCTCAACCTTTTTAACCAGACATAATGTTTCACAACAGATGCCCTGCCCTAATTAGCCAGAAATGTTCTTTTCATTTGTAATCCTCATTATACACTGTTATGCTGCTCAGACGCTGTTGTGCAAGTTGTAGTTTAAAGCCTGTAATACTAGTGAAGAACAAAGAGGACCCTTTTTTCTGTGCTGTGTTACGGTGTTAAGGCTTTCCCAAGAGCAAGGTGAAAGTAGCTCTAATTCAGTAAACGAATACCTTACAGCAAGCTGCAACTTGTAGTAAACATTTTCATCACTGCACTCACAAACCAACTCATCTTTGTGTCAGCAGGGTTGGACTTGTGGTGTGCAGGAAGAGTACTCCTGGGGAGGCACAACAACTGGCATTACTGGAGCATATCGAAGAGGCTGTTTTACATATCTGTTTTACATATTAAGGAGCTACATCAATGAGGACGCCCGGCATGGCGGTATTCAAGCAAGAGAACGTGGAGGATTTTTATGAAATTGGAGAAACACTGGGAAGGTGAGGATTTGTTCACGATTAGTTTTTATGAAGGATGTCAATGAGAGGTTATTTGATCCCCACCTCTTAGAAGATGATCCTTCACAGTTTGTGTGAGTCAGAGGGTGAGTCAGTTTCCCTTGCAAGTGCTTGATCCGGTGGTCCTCCTGTGTATGTAGGTATGCAAACAGCTGGCCTGTCTAAGCTTGAACTGGGGAGTGTCGTTGGGTTAAAGTGGGCTGAATTTTACAGCTAGAGATAACGTACCAAAGCTAAACGCACTCCAAGAAAAGAAAACAGCCCTGTTTGGGGGTCAGATTTGTCAGTCCAGGAACGCAAATGAATTGTGAGTGATTTGCTTTGCATGGTCTGACTGTGGGGCGGTGGACCAGGGTGTCGAAGTGCTGCGAATAAACCCCGTAAAGAGCAGACGTGAAGGAAACTGAGGAAATAAGTTACAGGAAGTTGGTAGATTACAATATGGATTGAGGAAGCTACGCCAATTTTGCACGGAAGGACAGCTTGGGCATGTGCACCACTCGATAACAGATTGAGCGGGTGTAAAAGCAAAGCATCTGACCTGTAGCCTTTCACCATTAATCCCAATATGCACTGTGTCCCAGTCTTTGTTGGGACATAGCTGCTTTGACACACCCTGATCCAGACCTGCTGTTGAAATGACTCCTTCAAAACTATAAAAAAAATAACCCAAACAAAAAACAGAAGAGGAAGACTTTTCAGCAAAGGCCTCGTGTAGCATGAAAAGTTCAAATGTATAAATATGAAATATTTTTTACAGTAATCAGGCTTTGAGTAAAGCACTCACGTCTGATGGTTAAAAATAATGATTCACGAACAGTTAGCTGATCAATAAAATGAATAAATTATCTAATACTTTACGTAGTTTGCAAAGTAAATAGATTGTAAGCACCGTTTAAAACAAAAGTACTGTCATTGATAATTGCACATGAAGTTGTAACATTGGAGGGATTTTCCACAGACATGCAAAGAGCAAGAAGGCAAAACAAACACAGCTGTTTGCACAGAGGCAACTCAAAAGCTGCTCATATCACCACAGACTAGTAGATGATTTATTAGGTTACATCAAGTAACCTAATAAATAAACCTAAGAAATTCCTTTAAAAGACTTTTAAAAACTTATATAAAAAAAAAAAGCTGAAATACCCTTTAAACCCCTGCAAGACATGGCAGACATGGGAATGTGTTGCTCAAAGCTGAGCTGGTTTTCATGAGAAAACCTTTGCCTGAAAAGCAAAGGGGACTCTGCTGTGAGCTGAGTGCATGTTTAACATCAGCATGTCGAAAATATGTGACCCTTTAAGCTACTGTGGTTAAAAGCCCTGGTTAGCTTTCTGAGTAACCAAACCTGTTACATTTTATCTTTCTGCAAAAGACTTTTCACTCACACTCACAGTTTTCTGGTGAGCCTCGGGGGACGTGTTTTAGCCCACTCACAGTTTTGACAGCCTCACGGGTTCAGAGCCCTCCACTCACATACCTCAGTGGAACTGTTACTCAATTGTCCTTTAAGAGTGTGGGGAAATTTGGCGGAGGGAGGCAAAAACTGTGTGACGTATTTGAGATGTCCTGTGCTGTGGTACTGTTGCACCATTTCTGGAAATTGAATTAATCATGTTGACAGGTTTCAATGTCTCACAGCCCCGAAAAGCAGTATTGAGTGGCTGTTTCCACTAATGACACAGAGTTTTGGGTAAACCTGTCAGCCCTTTGACATGCGGGGCATGCTGTGACAAGTGTACCTTTCTTTCCATTTGACTGATGACACTTATGACATCATACAGTACAAAGTGTTAAAGTCCGAACCAAAAGATGCCTTTAACAGGAAGCGGTGAGCTGTAACTGAGCATCAAGGTAAGGCTGAGAAAAAGGTCTTCATCTGAGATGCTGGACCCTGTTTACAAGTGAGCTTGTGTCCTTGTTGGCTCATAACAACTGATAGCTTTTAGTAGATAAGTAGTGCGTAGTGAGTCAGTGTCAAGAAACTACCATCTGTTAAACCCGCCCTCCCCCCCCCAAAAAAAACATGCAGACTTTCCCCAAAATTTGAATGCTGAATTTACTTTACACCATGGTTTCACTCTGACTTCCTGAATGCTTTCATGTTGACTTCTAATGGTAATCCCTTGACTTTTCGTCTAGCACCACCGTGTCTTTATTGCTATGTATGAAAGGTACAGCGAGTGACGTGATCCCAGGGTGAACTGTATGACTCTAACGATGCCTTAAATTGAATCTGGTCAGTTTGTTAATGTGTGGCTTCTTACAAAATACCTGCAGAAACTCACAAGACACCTATACTCTGTCTTGACGGTGAGATGGATATTTAAACATTAGTTGTACTGACAGGAACAGCAGCATGTTTGTCACTGCTTAAGTTGACATTGAGGTGAAAACTCATCTTTCCATTAACACAGGTTCACAGAGTTTTTGCTCTCCAATCTGTAAACACTGCAGGAGCATCTTCCTGATATGCAAAATATTTTTCCAGTATCTATGTGGGTTCATTTAGGAGAAAATGATTCAGACTAACCATTTTACAAGTTTTCTTTATGGAATATCCAGAGGGCAGTGATGCAAATTTTAGGTTGCGGTGCTCGAACAATAAATGCGTTGAAGTGAAAAGAGCCCACAGGGCAGGCACACAGCTGTTTCAGATTACCAAAAAGTACTAGAATTTCTCTGTCTCTATAGCTTCGAAACATTCCTGCTGTTGTGTAAGTTGGGGAAATAAAGAGAGAAGGGAGTTTATTTGCTGCAGCCTAACTGAAGGACCTCCGTGTTGACCTTTTGGACATCCCCCAGAGTTTCAATACTGACAGAAATTGTCCCATTACAAACAACACTAATGCCTCACAGATGCCGGTGTGTGCGTGTGCGTGTGTGGCTGGACTTAAATACCAGTGGGAATCTAGAGATTACTTTAGGGCTTAAATGCGGAAAGATTTCACTTACAGCGTAAAAAGCAGAAAATGTGGGAGACAAATTGGGTTTTCAAGCACCGGTAGAATTTTAAAAGTTGGAGCTGCGTCCCTGCAGCCCTCAATGGCATTTGATTAGTTGCCTGGTTAGGAACAGCTTTCTGGGTCAACAGCGAATCTGGCGCTCTTCGTCATCCTGGTGGTTGCTCAGTTGAGAAACATGTTTAAATATTGGGTTGGCGCCACTTGTCGGAGCATTCCTTCAACCTTGGCTGTGGCTAATGACCTTCAGCTGTTGGAAGTGGAAATTCTGCGGAGAGATGGCACTTTCAGCCCCGCTGGCCGGCTTAGGGCTAAGACAGACGGCACGCCTGGCCTTTTGTGGAATACCACCTCCCCCAGCATCTCTTTCCGCTGTTACTCTGCACTTCGTAGCAATGCTGGAGTAAAGCCCCTCTGCTGACATTTGGGTTGGGTGCTTTTTCACACATGAACTACAACTATCATCTCAAGGGCTTTTTCTATTTGCCATTAGTTATCAGGCAAATCAAGGGGACTGCTCATGCCCCAGTGATGGATCAGTTCCTCCCCTTGGGGTAATTGATGGAT